ATCTAGAAGAGACCCTAGATTTAGAGGATACAATAAATTATTGTTAATGGATAGTGTTTGGAGAGAAAATGCCAATTAAAAAACTTACCTGTTGTCCAAATTTATCTGAAATAAATTAAGAGAAATTTGATCAATTCTCGTTATCAAAAATCAAAGTAGAATCTATTAGTTTGAAATAAAAATAAGATAACTCAAGTAGTGTTATATAATATAGTATGATTCTATTTAAATTATTTTTAAATGGATTGCAAGAAATAACAATAGATAAAACAGATGCTACTTCAATTATTGTAAATACTTTTAATAAAATCAATGATTTTGATAATTTGATGTTAAAGAAATTAACATTTAAAGGGGATCTTAAGATTAATAAAAACTTATTTGAAAAACTGTCGAAATTATTTGAGAAGTTAGAACTTTTCTAAGTTTAAAAATTATTATTAGAAAATGAATTTGAAATTTATGATATTTGCTCATTAATGGATATAAATTAATCTAAAAATCTTAAAATCATTATCAAATAAGTAACATGCAATAACCCAAATGAATTTTACAAGAAATTCCTATTCAACCCAAATGTTGGTATAACAGAAGTGATCTTAAAAGATCCCTCATTATTGGAAAATAAATTTGATATATATGACTTAGGGTAAAAAATAAGATACTTGAATTTACAAATGGGTCTATTGTACAATTCACACAATTAATTAAATGTTAATGCTTTATAAATTATCAGTAAAATGCTTATTTATAATGAATCAAGTAATTTAGAAGAATTAGTATTGCATTAATGTCATTTCAAAATAGAAGGAATACAAGCTCTATGTAAATATTCCAGCACCTTAAGAGAGAAGATTAAAAATGAAGGAAGAGAAAGATTGGAAAAAAGTTATTCAAATTTTTGTGATAAATTAAAGATTGACACTTTAAAATTTAAAAATAAAAAATAAAGTATTAAATTAATAATTCTCTGATGCGCTTAATCAATTACTATATCCTTTTGAGTAAGAACTATTAAACATAATAAAATAAAAAAAACTATCTTCAGGAATTGTAAGAGACTTAAATGAATAAAATATGCTTTCCTCAATATAAAATGAAAGAATAGAATTACCATTTGCTTTAAATTAACTAAGCTTTGAAAATTGTACAATCTAAGACGATGTTTTAAGTGGATTTTTAGTGATATGTGAATTAAAAGATCTCTCAATTATCAATTGTAAGGAATTTTAAGTTGGAATCAAAAGAAGTATGGAATTAATCAAGCGTTTATAATTGGATGAATATTATTCATACAAAATAAAGTCGTTTTCATGTGAAAATACTGTTATTTAAGATGTTGAAACCTTTTAATCTTTAATTAAAGATATTGTCTTAAACTCAAATAGATAATTATTAGAAATTCTCAATTTAGATAATTGTTCTTTGAATGATGATATGATGCTAGTATTATCTAAATAGCTTATGGCAATTAAAGAAGAACAGAAAAAATATAATCGAGTCTTTCTACTTAGAGATCTAAATTTAAGTAATAATAATTAAATGTCAGTAAATTCATGGCAATAACTTTGGGATGTATTATTGAATGAAAGTAAGTTAGAAAAAAAGGTAGATGTACCTTAAGAATAATCTATAATAATAGCTAATCCATCAGTATTACTTAGAACTTTTGAAAAAGAGAAAGATACGATTATTAATGAGACCTAAAAGCTTATTGAATCATCATTGTTATGTTTAAAATAAAAAACACTTTATAATTATCAGAAATTCACTCCTTAATTTCCTAAATAAATAACAAGTTTAATTATTAAAATGGAATTCAAAAACCTTAATGATAATGAGTTAAAATTTTAATATTATAGACTGATAGTTGGTTATATCTGAAAGTTAGTTAAAAAATTTGGAATTAGAATCCTTGAATATGATTGCTTTTATTAAGGCCTGTTTGGAAGCTTATGAATATTCTAAATTCTACTTAGAATCAGCATTAAAATAATCTAAACAAGATCACAAAAGTTAAATAAAATCAATTAAGATCAAATCCCTAACGGCTAATGATGAGGAAAGCACTGAAAAATTTATTTAAATATTTCTTTGTTCTAAACATATAGAATTAAATGTGTTAAATATTTTTGGATGTACTTAACCGATTTTACATCTAATTTTAAAGAATATTGATAGAAAAGAGGATTACAAATTAGAGGAATTATCTCTTCCACATCTAGAAGAGACCCTAGATTTAGAGGATACAATAAATTATTGTTAATGGATAGTGTTTGGAGAGAAAATGCCAATTAAAAAACTTACCTGTTGTCCAAATTTATCTGAAATAAATTAAGAGAAATTTGATCAATTCTCGTTATCAAAAATCAAAGTAGAATCTATTAGTTTGAAATAAAAATAAGATAACTCAAGTAGTGTTATATAATATAGTATGATTCTATTTAAATTATTTTTAAATGGATTGCAAGAAATAACAATAGATAAAACAGATGCTACTTCAATTATTGTAAATACTTTTAATAAAATCAATGATTTTGATAATTTGATGTTAAAGAAATTAACATTTAAAGGGGATCTTAAGATTAATAAAAACTTATTTGAAAAACTGTCGAAATTATTTGAGAAGTTAGAACTTTTCTAAGTTTAAAAATTATTATTAGAAAATGAATTTGAAATTTATGATATTTGCTCATTAATGGATATAAATTAATCTAAAAATCTTAAAATCATTATCAAATAAGTAACATGCAATAACCCAAATGAATTTTACAAGAAATTCCTATTCAACCCAAATGTTGGTATAACAGAAGTGATCTTAAAAGATCCCTCATTATTGGAAAATAAATTTGATATATATGACTTAGGGTAAAAAATAAGATACTTGAATTTACAAATGGGTCTATTGTACAATTCACACAATTAATTAAATGTTAATGCTTTATAAATTATCAGTAAAATGCTTATTTATAATGAATCAAGTAATTTAGAAGAATTAGTATTGCATTAATGTCATTTCAAAATAGAAGGAATACAAGCTCTATGTAAATATTCCAGCACCTTAAGAGAGAAGATTAAAAATGAAGGAAGAGATTAAACAGCTTAATTAAAATTAAAAAAGGCTACACTTTATTATTCACTTTATATTGGAGATGATGGTGTTTAAATATATTGTAATGATCTATTATATTTCGAATACATTAGTATTGAGAGATTTGAAGTTTAAGTAACAAATTGGAATGATGTAATGACTAATAGTTTATGTTTAGCAGCTCAAAATTGGTTGTAATACTAAAAATAGCATTAAAGATAATATAGAACAAAATACCCAATAAAATATTTAGATATAGGAAGAAATGAATTTGTTGAAGAACAAGAAACGTGGTCTAATTTTTTAAAGACATTTGTGTTTACTGATAACACTCCTGATTTAGAAACATTGAACATACATTTTATGGGCTTAAATGATTTAAAAAAAAGATATATAATAGAAGAGTCTCTTTAATTCTTTTCAAAAAAACCTTCAAATTATAAATTTAATGTTAAAAAGATTAATTTTTCTCAGAATAATTCATTAACTCATTTAGGATGGTAAAATTTATTTAAAAACTTAATTAAACATGATTAGTACTATGTTAGATAGTCAAATTAAATTAGATTACATAGCTTAAGTAATAAAAGATAGAGCACTTGCTTCCCCTAACAAAAAGGTACCACTACATACTTTCTTATGTTACAATGTTAGTCTTAAGGATTATGTTTCTGGCTTTTTATCTGAATAACCTCCAAATTACTAAGTTCCTTATGATATACTGTGGAGATAGAATATGATGATAGTCTAAATTTTGGATATTTTGATGGAGTCCCAGAATCTTCTGGTGAATTTTATAAATGTTTTAAAGGATTCTCAATTTGAGGTAGAATATTGTTTATCGCAAAGAATGGAAACTCACAAGATCAAAATTTTCACCTTATCATTTAAATATGTGTGATCATTATTTAAGAATACTAAATTAGTATTATACTTAAAAGGGCAATGATTTAGTAGATATTTACCTAAGTTTATAGTCTTTAGATAATTTTGCCAATCATTTTGGATATATAACTGAATAT